GCGAAGCGTCGACCTCCGAAATACGCCGAGACACGCGCCTCGCCTTATTGCCTCGCGTCGCGGCGCTCTTGCTTGCTCGTTCGTTTGCTCGCTCGCTCGCCTGCTCGCTCGTGTACGAATTTAGAGTCGGCCGTAACGAGAGCGCCGGAAGCCGAACGACCTTTTTGAGGTTGCGCCGCGGCGCGCCAAGTTTTCGCTCCGGAGAAAGAGAGAGAGGGAGAGAGAGTGCAGGAGAGGAGAAGATGTGGTCAGTTCGATGTGGCGCGTAGTGACGCTCAAGTATGATCAAGTATTGAATTTTTTCTCAATCAGTAAATATCATGAACATCAATATTGTCTCGTATTTTTTTTTGTGGCGAGTTTTTAAGCGTTTCATGTCCAAATCGAAAAAAAACAATGTATTGATGAAAAGACGATTTGCAGACGATAATAATTAGAGAATTTTTGTTGAGATAATCATAAATGAATAAAAATTATATAATTTTGAAAAATTTTTTTTCGAATAAATGCCCGAATTAGATGATATTTTGAATCGTAACATTCTAAAGAAACAAATATGGCAATTTTTATATTTTCATTATTTTTCAAGTCAGTGAACAAAATTTTTGCTCGAATAAACGGATATTATAATATATGTAGAAAAAGATATACAAACTTTTTTATAAATGAAATGATACTATCTATTCAATATGATCAAAACTATTTCTCTTTCAATTGTTTCGAAATCTATGTTGAAAATCATAACTATACTGGAGCTACGAGAAGAGTACCAATGTGTATTATCTTCCTTTTTTGAAAGTCTGTGTTCAAGATAACAAACGCGGTGGATATTTGGAAACGAGAGAAGGACTCCTCGATTATCGATGTCAAAAGAATAGAGACGTCAGTGTATTCCGGCAATATCTATCCGACAATGTACTATCAGAAGCGTCCCTTAGACGCGAGGCCGCGACGCGGAGCCCCGGGTTGAGCGCAAGAGGTCGACGTCCGGGCGCGCAACAAGTGCCGCACTACGTGCACGTACACAGAGACCGCTGCCTCCTACCCCCTCCTCACGCATGTACATGAGGCTCGCCTTCTGCCTCGCTCACTTGCACAATCGCACGACCACCGCGGCGGCGGCGGCGGCGGCGGCGGCGGCGGTTTGCCGTCTCTCCGCCCCCTTGAGGGAGGCATCCCTCTGTCACTGTCCCTCTGTCGCTCGTTTTCTTTGGTTCTCTTTGCGCCACCTCCGAGCTGAGAGAAAGGAAGAGAACCGAGAGGAACGAAGTGAGATACGAAGGGCGAACGGGGAATGGGGATGCACCTTTCAGAGAAAGAGAGACGGGGGGGGGAGAGGAGGGGGAACGCGTGACCGTGCACCACCACGCATCGTCGTTGGTAAATATAAAACTGCACTGGGTCAGGGATCCGTGATTTATCGGCTGCCTCGTGTAATTGGCCGCCGGCCAATAGATATATACCTCCCCCGGGCTGCATTGAGGGAACGGGAGAAAACGTGCTATCTCGCATTTAGCGTTTGTCTCCGTTTTGCCACCCTCAAATACGCGACTTATTTCTACGCGCTGAACTCGATCGTTTTTCGAACCCTCTGTCTCTGAAATCGAATTTTATTTCTTCAGAATTCTAGCGATGAGAAAAGTATCTTAATTATGTATCACGAATAACGTGCCGCATATATAGCAGTTTTTTTTTATAAAACAATAATGTATCGTATTTTTCTGTTTTTTTCCTATCTTTCTTCTATCGTTTCTCTGATTTTCCAAGAAGTGGCGTAGTTTCCAGATTTTATGATTGTATATATGTCGGAATCTAATGTTTGATTTCTTTCTTCCCTAAAGCACTAAAAATTACAATGAAAATCTAAATAAATTCAGTTTAAAAATTTTCTTCAAATTTTTTTGAAAATGTAAAAGCCATTACACAAAATTTCCCGAAAAATTCCTTGAAAATAATTCACGAATGTTTCTCTATTGATAAATAATTTCCATCATTGAATTGATCGATGAGATCGTCATTTAAAAATTGCAAAATCGAGAAGAGAAAAGCACTATTTCCACTTTCAGGGCAATATTCTATTCGGAAATTTTTAAAATAGAAAAAACATGGAAATATAAAACATAATAATGCATGACATTGGATTTTATCTGCGAAATTATTATTTTTGGTATATTATTCTTAAAAAAAAAAATTGCATCAGATTGAATTTAGTATTAAAAAATCATCATTGTGTGTGAAATTTAGAGTCGCTCAGAGAAACGGCGGAATCTTTAGTCAAAAACCGAGAGACCGAAGTTTGAAAGATTGGCAACCGTTTAAAAGATAACGGTAATTTCTACAATGCTCGCAATGTCGCGA